TCAGGTAAGAACCCATGAGGGAAGAGCCAGAGGTTGCCACCACTGCATCTGCATGGCATGAGCTCATTGAAGCAGTCCATGCACCATGATCAGTTACCTGTTCCACAGCTTGGGAGCTTCTACTTGCCCAAGTCTGGGCATTTACATGCCCCATTCTTGTCACCTTCAAGGCAGTGGCTGCCAACAAACAGAAAATCGGGGTGTAGAGAGAAGCAAAGGCAAAAACCAGAAGCATCAAACAGATTATCCTGACACAGAAGCTTCTCGCGCAAGAAGCAGCACAGGGAGGGATACAAAATTCCTGACATTCTCAGCTGGCAAAGAGCAAATGGAAAAATGTTACGCATGAAAGCCACTATCAGATACCATTTAGCATTTTGTAACCTTGAGCAGTTTTCCCTCCATGATTGAAGGCTGAGATTCCAGTTCTCAGGATTCACAAGCTGAATAAATCAGGAAAGACATGTCTCTCTCCAACCCACGAGTATTTTCTGCGAGTTAAATTGAAGAAGATATATATATAAGAATGAGCATTTTTCTCAAATATGCAAGAATTCTTGAAGAGGGAAAAATTCCAACATTTTAGGATAATCTTCTGAAGAAATTTTAAATAAGCAGAAAACAGATTTTTGCAACATCACAGAAGTGACCTATGCTTAGCCCTTCTGAAGTTTACGGTCATTAAACAAAGAATGCAAAAAGACACTACACCCAAACCACAGCTCGCTGTCAAGCTACACATGCTGCAAGTTTGTTAAGTTTAAGAAAACACACATTCACACGCATCTCAGATGATTTACCATGCTTCACACTCACTCTAAAAATAGTAAAAATAACATATTCACTTACTAGCTCTAATGCCACTTGTACTCTCACAGATGCACATACTACCAAATCTCACGTTGACCTTTGCAGCATGCAAGCAGTAGCTCACTGAAAGGAGGTCCTTACACAACACGCAAGGAAACCACCTCCACACTGAGCCGTGGGCTATCATCAGAATCAACCTATATAAAACTGTAGAGCAAAATCCAGGCCATGTCTTGACTGCAGAAGTAATTCAAGTCATTGGTAGTTGGCGTGAACTCTTCTCAGGATAGTCTGGTTTCAGAGGAAGCATCCATAAGCTCTGTCATCAGGTTGCTCAGCTTAGGAGAAACGTCCCAGTCAAAACTGAAAACTGCGGCAAGAACAAGTCCTCCTCTCAAGCAGCATTTTCACCCCCTACCTTGTGACTCGGTCTCTGAATCACCAGGACAACTACTGTCATTCAGAAAAGAGGGGGCTATAAAGTGCTGCAGATGCATCAGTCAGCCTTTTCCTGGAAATGGAGCAGTTCTCCCCCCCACTCCCCAAAAAACCCCACACAAACAAAATCCCACAACTCAGGGCAATTCCTATCAAGGTTTAAATTGGGCTCAAATAATTGAGGCTCCTTCTATTAAACAAAATTAAAAATCCCAGAGTTCAACATAGTAAATTTAAAAAGGACAGGGATAAATTTTCCTGGCCCAGAAACATGGCCCTCAGGTTCCCTAACTATGTGCTACAATATTCCTCAGCTGGCAAAATGGAAAGCTGGCAGCCACCCAAGGTATTCAGACAAAGCATTGTAATTAGAAGCTACTTAGGGCACCATGAACCAAAATATATGCTAATAAAAACATCATTAACTTGTGAAGAGACTCTTCTTACAGGAGGGAATCTTTACTAACAATAATGTAATTGTCATGCATTTAAGTCCTGAAGTCCATGGCAACAATTTAAAGCTCATGGGGAAAAAGTGAGACAGGGAAAAAAGTGACATTTGGAAAATAGTGGGGTGGAGGGAAAGTGACTCTGAGAAACAGAAGAAAGCAAGCTTGCCTGATAGCACACCAACACAAAGTAACCAGGTCTGCAGAGACCAGTACTCAGGCATAGAAAAGTAGGGGCATTTTGTTAAGTGTGCTACCAGTTTAAGGTTCTCCCTATCCAAAAAAGGGAAAAGAGAACACAAGATAAAAGGATTAAGAAGCTCTCTCCTTTTGTAATCAAGTACAATGTGAATTTTCCACAGCGAGAGCTGCTGGGGAGCCACGTACGCCTCTCCAGGGACTCCTCCAGGAAGCACACTGAGCATTCGCTCCCATCAAGGCTACGACAGAAACGCTTTTGATGTACATTTTCTGCTGCATTATTGTCATTCTGCAGAAGTGACATTTGCTTGTTACTTCCCACAAAATGGCAATTCTGGTTCCTTCTCTACTCTGCCTACAATTCTGAGTTTCCTGACACAAAAGAAATAAAATATCTATTATCCATACGAATCAGAAGTTATCTCTTCTCCACGACCAACCTGTGACTGGCTGGCCTGTATATTAAGGTTCTTCAATTAACTCAGGTGTTCCTACAAGCTTTTAAATCCAACAGTGACCAGTATTTCCGAAGGCTTGCAACGTTACAAGTGGCTATCTGAAAGCTGATTTAACACCTCAAGGGGGTGCTGAGTGCTTCCAGCTGGCTTCTCTGAGCACCCAGGGCTGGGGTCCTTTTCAGAAGCAGGCACATGAATTTCCAGTTTCTCCCAGCTCACTGAAGGTGGCCAGGAGGCATGCTGGTTCTCACAGAGCATTGCTTAAATAAAGGTTTGCAACTAAGATATTTAAGAGTGGTTTCTCTACTCTCTCCAAGCTGGCAGTTTCCCAGTTTGTTGCCCAGAGAAACTCATGAAAAAGGAGAAACTAATGAACAAGGAGCCCAGAAGTGCTGCTGCTGTTGTTTCTGCCTGCCCGCTCTACTCCTGTTAAGGTTTGAGCTTAACTTTCATGGCATAAGTAAGGCTTCAATTAAATCTCACCTGGGGCTCTTCTGCTGTGAAGGCTCCACATCAGCACATAGACACAGCAACAGCTGGCACAGCTGGGGAAGCACAGAGCACCCCGACTCCAGAATAAGCACACAGAAGTCCTAGGCTTGGCCTTGGGTTTAGGAGAACGAAGCCAAACGAAGGCAATGTTGAAAGAGCAGGAAGTCCTAAACACTGCTATCAGCAGTATAGACAACAGGGGCACTGACAAAATTTCCAGACTTTAGCAGTGGAACATAAAGCCTCAATAAAAATCGCAAAGAACCAGGGAAGGACAACAGCTCTCAAAGCTGAAACACCACTTGGAAGACATTTATTAGTACACTGTGAAAAACAGCAATAGGCTCTGAGGTTGGGGTAGGCTGGAAGCTTTGGGTCATCACCATTGTTCAGAGGATAACAAGAAAGAAATTGAAAAGGGGAGACATTTGCTCTTGAATAATAGATCAGAAGGAGCAACAAAAGACAAAGTAACCAAAAGCCCAGACACAAATTAAAGTGAATAACCTATTGAGAAGCATCACATGTTTAGCTCTAAAATGGGGATGTTCTAGGACAGGTAATGACTTGGAACAGTATGGACCTCACCTTGGGAGACTTCTCTGCCTCTGTAGCTAGCAGTCAACACCCATCAACTTTGTTTACTGTATCACCCAGGTTTCCTAGAGTCCTAGTAAAAGATTGGGAATACATCGTGCAAACACAGAAGAAAAAGGTGGTCCCTGGCCTAAAGAGATTATAATTCACAATTACACATGAAAACCTGTAACATGTCTGTAATAGAATCTGAGCAATTTAACAAAGTTTGTGGTGGTTACTGCTCATCATTGTTTGACACACGCACAAAAAAAAAAAAAGAAATAAAGAAAAGCAGATGTTTGAAAAGTGATGAGTTAAAAAAATCAGAGGAAACATAAGGGACTAGATAGGAAGGATGGATTTTGTGTCCAAGAGTCAGAGCTCAGTCACAGATTTCCTGCCTCAATCAGGCATCATTTAGTTCAGTAAATATGACTTTATTAATATTCACCTACTTCAAAAAAAAGCTTTGAGAGTCTTAAGACTATGTGGGAAAACAGATTAATACTTACATCTAAATGTCAAGAACTGAGTTTTGTGTGCTAAAGAGCTAAAAGAAATAAAAAAGAAAGCAGAGCAGTGGAGGGAAGTGAGAGAGAGAATAAGCAAGGAAACACAAACCATGGGAAGGAAAACTGAACCTTTGCTACCTCTTGCAATAATTAGTCAGTTATCAGCTCCAGACCATGCAGAAGTCCCAAACAAGATTCAAGGGAAGGAATTATGCTATACTTCAAATATGTTTTTCAAGATCCGTTTTCCCATCATAAACTGAATTGCCAAGAGTCAACAGATTTGACCACTTTACATTATGCTGTGCATTATAAACAAAAGCACAAGCATTTCCTGCACTTAACAGCAAAAATCTTCATTGCCCACAATTCACATACAAGGTACAGAGAATAGAGTGGGATGTATCAGACTGATAGCCATTGAGGTTACTAAAACAAAAAAATTATCAACCAGGCTTATATATGGTCAATATGAACCAGTGCCCACAAACTCCGTTACGGCTTTTTTGAAAAGCCAAAGGAAAAGCTACTTAATTTGAGCAATTCACACACTTGAAAAATCAAGACAAAAAACCATTAAGTGGTTCAGGTTGCTGGTACTAATTTCCAAAATAATAACAGCAGACACAACCCATATCAAATGTCCCAACTCAGGACAACCCTAGAGTCACCACCTAAGCTCAGACCATCCTCCAGCCCATGTGCCAGAAGTCAGGTGCTTTCCAACACTGATGAAAGCTTCCACATGTAAACCTGATGAAACCAGAGGGGAGGTGGAGACTGCTTCGGCACCGCCCGAGCTGTCTTGAAGAAAGCAGCCAACAACTCATACCAGTTTTTTTTAGGTAAGTGGTATGGTCAGCCTGCCACTGCATTTACCCCACCTCTGAAATGGGAACATATATACTTGGCGACTGCTGACCACTTGCTTTGCAGAGCCTTGCAAAGACTCAGTAGGTTTGTACTTACAAAGCCTTCTGAAGATAAAAGGTTTAGAAAAAGTATGCCAACATGTTAAAAGAGACTGGAATAACAAAGACATACTGCAAAGTACTACTCACCCGTTCCTGACCAGCTGTGTCCCAGATCAGAAATTTATGAAGCTCATTCCCACAAGGCACAGTTTTAGTCATGAAGGATGCTCTAAAAAGAAGGAAGCAGCAGAAATTTGTGACATGACCAACACTCTGTATATGCAACCCTACAGGTTCAAGTCTCCCTTTTCTCAGACAAAATATATGATACCTATATATGTTTTTTAAAAGAAGGGAAAAGCCTCTGAGGTGCAGAAGGCATTTGTGCATGGGCCCAGGAACACAAATGCTCCTGCCACTCACACATAGCTTCTGCTGCAAGCTAGCTCCATCTTCATAGTGATATGCGCCTGACAAAAAGGCATCAGCCAGCATCATACCAGGCAACAAACGTGCAATTATTCAGTTAAACCTAGGAGACTGGATCACCAGGGAACAGAATAGTCACCTGCTGGAATGCACATAGTGAACAAATGGAAAAAAGCTCTTCCCCCTCTCAACTCAGATGAAGAAATCTTTGTGGCTTCTTGTATTTTTTTGTAGAAAATGCAATTTGTCTATGTTTTCACAGTTGATTTTTCTTCTTTTAGGAAAGAGGCTTACAAATTTATAGGCTTTTTCTGTATTACAGCATTTCAGTTGAAAGCTGGCTAGGAGAGACTGCCAAACTCTGGTAGACCACCCCCCCCCCCTCCTATCTGGACACTGCTGAAAAATTTGTTGTGGTAACTGTTTTCCTGGCTCATAAAGATGCATTTGATAAAATGCACTATCGTTACAAAAGCACCAAATGACATCAAATGACATATGACTGATAAAACATTTCCTGAGAATGATATACTAGAGTTCTCCTCTACAGCCAACTGCAAATTGCTCAAATTTAACAATGCTGCATTGCTTATAAAAATAGTAAGTCACGAAAAAAAGCACAGTATTTTCTCTGGTTATTTTCAGGGTGTGTGCTTTCAGTTGCCACTGTCCTTCTCAAAGCATTAAGCAACAATTTACAGTTTCAAAACCAGGAACTTTAGGACCGCCGCAGCTACCATATATTGCAAGGATTGTATATTTAAAACATTTGATTAATTTGGAAGAAAATAAAAATAAAAACCTTACCTATATAGACAAGTAATATCACCTGTGTGCAACCTAGCCTTCACATTTTAACCGTGAAATAGAAAAATATTTTCTCTCTGTTATCATAATTATGAAAATAAAAAGGTTGTTTTTTTTTTTTTTCATTTGAGCAGAAGACATTTACTTAGCAACCACAACTTGGGGAAAAAGGCTGCTGCTGATTTAGAAGTAAAGAACCACTGAAGTTCCCATCAATTCCTTCACTGCAAACAAACATCCTTCAGTCAGTAACGTTATTCATTACATGCTTCCTTTCTCTCTGTCCATTTTTCTCTGTTCATTACATTCAGGAGTCCAAAATTGTCCTGGAACTTCAACGTGCAACTTCCAGCTGAGACTCCTTCATGCATCAAAAGGCAGAGCTTTGGAAGACATCATCTAACCGTCTGAACAACACATAGCAATCAATACCAATCCTTCACAGACAATTTAAAACAGCTCTAACACACAAGCCAGATCAGCCATTCCCACCCAAACCACTCCTGTGTGAACACTACATATTAGCTTCCTTGCCCATAAGAGATCAAGAATTTTCAAAATTTTCCGATTAATGTTGGACTTGGCAGATTTGTCCCTAAGAAGTTAAAAGAAAATTTTTTTTGAATTAAAATCAACTACAGGACTAATAGGCTTCTGATGGCCTGACACATGAAAGCTTGGCAGTTTTTAAAGAATAACAGGTGTGAATTAATTATACTTAGTTTAAACTGCATTGTCCCTATTTTGAGAAAGACAGGATAATGTAACATGTCCTAAACCTAGATGAAAGGCTGTCCACACCTGGGAACAGACATTGTCCACGTTCCAGCCCAGCCTGGCAAGACACACAAAGCAGGTACGTTAAAGGAGTCCCCATGGTTCTCCTGCCATTACTCAGCGATGGGGTGTCCTGGTCATTGTGCAGATCACAGCCTCTTGGGTTGTGGAGTTTTGGTTCTTCAAGCTCCCAGGACCAAATTCGATACCTCATTGACCAGTGGGAACTAAAGTGATTTTAATCCTAAGGTCCTATGATCAAAACACAGTGTAAAGTGGGAAACTCTTGACAAAAAGAAAAGGACACCAGCCAAGTACGTCATCTAAGAACCCCTTGATGTAACATGGGTAAAGAAAAACAAAATGGAACAGCAGGAAGTCATGTCTATGCCCAACACAAGTCAATACAGTGTGGTTCTGGACAGCCCCAGAGAAGAGGTGATTTCAAGAGATGCCATTCACAGGAGGAGAATGGCAGAGTTCTGTCAGCCTGTCCATAACATATTATGCTGCAATATGGTTAAGTTGAGGCCCCCTCAGTATTCCCAGAAGAGCAGAGCATTCCTGGTTTGGGGCAGCCCCAAGCTCTCTAAACAGGTAGCGTGAGCTGAAAGCTGTTAAAGGAGACTAAGGGGTTCAGTGGAATTAATAAACTGGAGAAAAAAGGACATACAATATTCAGAGCCTTGAAAGTAAGGAAAAGAAAGGAGCTCAGCAGAAGGCAGTGAGTTAAAACATGTATGGAAGAAAAAAAGATATTATGCACGGTACTTACCCAATAGTAGGACTAATATTGTGATCAAAGTGGTCCTGGACAAATCGACAAACAATGCTCGATTTCCCAACCCCAGTATCCTGAAAAGAAAGGAAAGAATGACAGTGAGTTCAGGAGACCCTAGATATCAATACTTCACCTGAAAAAATAGTCAAATACTGGTTTGTGAAATTATATCCTCTCTAGTGGCAAGTGGGGCAGGTTAAACATTTCAAAAGAGAAGCAAGCACATCGATTATCCTTTTCAAATGTCAGCATTGTGACTAGAGCTTCCTGGTCCCCTTCCCAACACTCCCTTCTCTCCAAGCCCTGTATTCTTTGGGGTAGATTTTACATTCCTGTTTCAAGGACTGCAGTACTTCAAGCACAACCATTTACTTGCATAAGAAAATCCTGTGCTTTCAAACAAATGGTGCATTACCCAGCAAAACCAGAGAAACAATTTCATCCAGACCTGTTGCAAGGGCAGCCCAAGCACGGTTCCAACACAGATCACTAACACCAACCTTTTAGTACATTGACAGCGCTAACTTAGTAGAACTAACTTTTCCAAGCCTGCTTGGCAGAAGCTTTGCAGAGGCTTCAGGTGGTTTTGAAAAGGCAGGAATCCAAAGAGTTGGATCCCCTGAGATGCACAACCCTGTGCACGTTGTGTTACCGGACTCCGGTGAAACGCCATTACTTCAAATGCAACACAACTTGCTGTCTACACTGCAATGTGGCAGACTGCTTCCATTTGTGGGAAGTCTTTCTTCTTTTCTTTCTGTCTTTTTTTTTTTTTTAAACACACATACACACCACACCCCCCCAAATCAGTAAGGAAAAATAAAAGCAATACAGTACTAGAATAAAATATGAAATAAACTCAGGGGGGTGCAGGGAGAAAAGCTTGACATTACTCAGAAATGCTATTTTAGGAATTTAAGATATGAACAACTTCCCCAAAAAGCTGCATTTTTCAGTTTGTCTCTGCTATTCCATGAAGCATTGGATGGTACGTAGAAGAACATAAATTATACAGAGAATTATCAAGGAAGAGGAATAGCAATATCACTGTCTCCCACAGAATTGCAAAAAGCCTCCTCCGAGACAAAAACGATGCCAGGAAATCGATCCTGACCTTTCCCAGACATTAACAATGACAGTCCAGGGTCCAATCTAACTCATTAAAAAGTCAATGGAAAGTTTTCTATTAATTTCATTGGAAGTGACTGCAGAACTACCAGATTGTACCTGGTAGTTCCACCTGTATCCACATTTTAAAACACTTGACTAATTTGCATAAACTTCTCAAAAAGTGACAAGAGAATATAGTTTGTTGACAGCACTACACATGTAACTACGTATTAAAAAAAGCAGCCTTTGCCTTTTCTGTAATCAATTTTGCAGTATTTTACCTTCTTTTTGAATATGAAAGAAAAAGGCCTGTAGTTAAGATTTCCTTTCGCCATGTTTAAATGAAACTGTATCGCCACTGCAAGCAAAGTCTTTATAGACAGCACTTATTAGAAAACCATCATTTAAACTCTCATATTTAATTCAAAGCTGTCTTTAGTCAGCTTAAAAGCCATAATAAATGCTCATGCTACACAGACGGTTGTTTATCTACTGTGTTAAATCAATAGGAAAAAGAAGATCAAAGAGAGGAGCAGTGTTTAAAACCAGCCCTGTAGCCTTTGATCAATAGCAGCAACACACCCTGTTGCTATTCTCAAATTTTGCCTTCATTATCGATTCCAGCTGACATCTCTGTATAATTACTAGGCCAGGATGGCAGAACACATTTGAAAGAAAAAAAGAAAAAAAAAAGAAAAAAAAGAAAGAAGAAAAAAAAAAGAAGAAAAAAAAAAAAAGTCCTTTGTGCTGAAACTGAGGATCTAATTATTATTGCGGATTTTTAAGCGTTGTGGAGAAGCCACAACTACCACCCGCTGGGTGCGAAGAATTACACTTCCCTCTTGCGAGAACAGAGTTTCTGCTGCCGTGTTTGAAACTAGACATTGACCCCTGTGACCCAATGACGCTTTAATTTCGTCTACTTCCTTCAGCTCCCTTGGCAGCTCACTCAGAAGAGCAACTGCAGCTGCAGCTCCAGAGCAAGAGGAGCCCAGTCTTTGGTGGGGATGCGACACTCACAAGTGCAGATTAAAGCTTAGCTCATTTTCCTGGAAGCTCCTACCTCTTCATCTTGCAGTTCGTGGATCTTACTAACGTTTCATGCTAAGGTTAAATGAACTTTAAAGGTTTCTGTTGCCCTTGCATCTCTCGCAACAAGCATGGCTACACTTAAGGCTGTGACAGGCACAGTGATGGCTCTCAAATAGCTTAAAAGCATTCTCACACTTTGCTCCTGGGGTTGCTTGGATTACCGAGAGGGATAAATTTACCCCTAGTGTAACCCATGGACTTGGACCACAAACAAACCTGTCTTCCGGATGACCGCTGTTGTAGCCAGTGGCCAGCGCTTTCCAGGAGCCAGGCAATTTATTGCACCAAGAGGTTCAGTTGAAACAAGCACTCCCAGCTTCTGTTTTGTTGCCTGGAGGATACAAACAGCCAGCTACCGGAGTATAATTAGAGCACAAAGGGGAAGGAAGTAAAAAAAGAAAAAACTTCCCATTTGAGGCAGTGATTATCATTCCCTCACAGGATTTAAAACTATTTAGATGTTTTTCGGTCCATGTTTCCATACTCACACCCATCAAACAAGACGCTCACCTGTCTGAAAGCAAAACAAATCACGGTGTATGCACGTTATACAGTAACTTGAAAGGTTCTCAGAAATCTCACGCTGCTTATCAGACCTTATCTTTTACTGACAATAGGGAACTATCTTTCAGGTCAATCTCGCAGAAGCCAAGGGAAGCATGGTTGCTTCAAAGAAGTAGAAAAGGCATTCGCTTCTCGGCAATGCGTGGAAATTAAACCTCCTTGCTACGGCTGCAGAAAGCATGCCTGCTACAACCTTTGCCCTTTGTTATATGGTCTTCCTCCACATACATGCATTTTTCTAACATCTGATGGGGATGATCATCCTTGTTTTGTTCATTTTTCTTCAAAGGATTAGAACAGACTTGTCAAGCCACATGCCTGGGTAACATTCAGGCATGCAGATGACTTATTTTTCCAGTTCTCAAAGTTCTGCTTTTTGCCAGCTTTTTACACCCTCTAATCATTTTTTTCTTTTTTGTTTGACTCCATGTTGGTGTACATGTAACATCATACACCAAGGAATAACATTTCGGCTCATGTAAAAGGTCACAGTGGTATTGAGCTGAGTGGATTGGACAAGTTTCAGAAACTGAGAACATGTCCTCAGGAATTATGTTGCACTTTAACGAACAGATCCTGCAATTCTTCAGAAAAATCCTTATCCATGGGAAACTCACGGGTTTCAGCGCTGTACTAATTGACTCATCACAATCAAGAGCATACCACTCCATGAAAGAAGCAGCAAGAAAGGAATAAATATGAAATAATTATTCTGAATCAAGGTGTTCATGATGCATTTGATGAGTCACTCATGGGACCAACTGCATGTTTTGCTTTTCTTGTTTCTTATTCATAAGCCTCATAGCACACTTACAAAATATCAGCTATAAACTGCATTGTACAGAGATAAGCAAAAGAGGTAGAGTGGTGTGGGGAGGCAGGAGTAGAAATGTAATCCACAGTTAAGTGGACCACTGTTAGTTCACCACAAGAAGTAGCTACAACTTCAGAATCTCTCACTAGTCATCCAAAACAGATAGGGAAATCTGAAGCCGTATCAGATGTTTCTGGTAAATACAAGGAACCAATGCAAACATGACCAATTCCTCATTTTTACCCTTTAACCCTGAAAAGACATTCTCTGTTCCTCTAAAATCCTTTACCTGCAGATTTAGGCACAAGGATTTTAAGAGCACCAGAATGGAGAGCGGCATGCCACAAAAAAACAGTGCTTCTATCCACACTCCTGCTTGCAGAGAATCACTCCACTTGGCTCTTCTCAGCTCACTTTACACTAAAGGATATGAGACTGTATTTCATCAAGCCAGCAGAATTACAGGATGCTGGCAACTAATTTGCAGGCAAACTGAGCCACTGGTTTCTTCTGGCTAATTTGCAGCAGCATAGAGGAAGATTTAAAAAACAGAAAGCAGAAGGTGAATATGAGCAATACATTAAAAAAGAAAACCATTTACCCATTACAAACAGGCAGCACATCCACTGTTCCAGATGTGTGCATCCTGGCAGAAAAAAACGATGCAGAAAAATTTAGCTTTTTAATTGGATGTCTCATTTATAGCTCTGCACAATCATAGGGCTTAGTCCTCCAAGCACTTTTCCAAATTGAATGGTACTATACTACCCTGTAAACACGTCCCTGATTAGGACATTAGTCTTTAGTCTTGATATTATAATAACTTTTAATAGATTCAGGTGGGTCAAGTCCTATAGTGCTGAGCAAACTAAACTCTTCATGTAAATTCTTTTCACATCTGAAATGGAATAAATGTTGAAGTCACAAAAAAATCCACCCATATCATGACTGATGACTAAACAGCAGCCCTATAATTACGCACACTGATGCAACAGCTGTTTTATTCTTGACTACACAGAATATTTCTGTGCTATGTTAACACAGAGGGCTTTTTAAATATATGTAAAATTAGATAAACCATGCAAAAATCCTTTTATGACTCTAGGATTTTGGAAACGCAAATAAAACAAGAATACTAGACGGCATTTCACACGAGGGAATGGCACACTGAGAACGAACATACCAAAGAAACTGCCTTCTGTTCTCCCACTTGCAAAGTAAAAAAAAAAAGAACATCTGGCTTGGTAACCACCACAGATCTCATGACTAACTTCCCATTTCAGCTTTAAAAGAAGGTTGAGATACCCTGGAGATGGGTGCCACAAAAATCTGCACTGAGGAGTAAAGGAGAACTGATCTCTATAAACTAGGGATCCAATACACGGGTCCTTTGGAAGGATGGAATTTTTCCCATCAGCTTAGACAAAGACAAGATTCAATCCACAGTATTTCAATTTGTATAAATTTTTACAAATTAAAACTATCTGTCCCTGCAAAGCATTT